CCGTCGTCTCGGCGATGCGTCGGATACCTCCGTCCTGGAGGAGTGCCAGCATCAAAACGTGGGGATGTGGGTGGACTTCGGGGTCCAGGATGCGCAACCCATACAAGGGCTGCGTTTGGGGATGTCCAGGGGCCCGCGACTCTCTCAAACATTCGTATGCTGAGTGCTCCAGAAGCGCTCTAAAAGCGTTGCACTGCATTTTCAGGTGTATCGGTTAGCTCACCAAATGAATATGAATCGCTCGATGACGCCCGTTCGCTCGCCCGCGCGGCCCTTCAAGCGGTCGAGCTGCCCCTCGGCGGTCAGCGTTGCAGGAGGCACCGCCCTTCTGCGGCGGTTGGTCAAGATGACACGCGGTCCCCCCAGACGCTCCAACGTCCCACCCTTCGTTCAGGAGGGACAAACACACAGGCACAATGAATCGTCGATTTCCCAGAAAAGTATTGGAAAATATGGAAATGGGGGGGAGACAAAACCCTTCGAAAACATCCAAAACTATTGGACATCCTGTTATTCGTGTGTATTTATTTGTGTGTCCCAAGGCCCCTTCCCTCGTCCTCCTGCGCCCCCCTTCCTCCGCAGAGTGGTTCCATCAGCTGTGTGTCTGCCGGTGCGCCGTACGAGCGCACGGCTAGACTGACCGACTCCATCCACAAAGCGCTGGTTAACCTTCAGCATGGGAGTGCGCGGCGCCAAGTCGAGAGCAGCCTGTTTCAAAGGGGCCCGCCCTCCACGCGTGAAGCTTCTGCAGTATGTGAAGCACGAGCGCGCGGGGCGCTGAGGCGAAAGCCACATGCTGAAAACGACCTGCCCTCCATGGCCGAAGCTGTTGCAGGTTTCAAACTTCAGGGGTATAGGCAGGCAGGCGGTCCCAGGCGGAACGCCAGGCCCGTCCTGTCGACACGCTTTGGGGTGCGGCAGGGAGGAAGTGGGTAAAGGACGGGAAGTGGATGAGGAGGAAGAGGATGCGGAGGAGGAGGAGGAGCAGGAGGAAGAAGAGGAGGAGGTGGCGAAAGGACGGGGGGGGGAAAGACGAGGAGGAGGAGAGGGAGATGGCGGCGGAGGAGGATAATGATGGTGATGGTAATGGTGGAGGAAGCTGTCGTGATGACGATGGTGATGATGATGATGATGATGATGATGATGATGATGATGATGATGATGATGATGATGATGATGATGATGATGATGAGGAGGAGGAGGAGGAGGAGGAGGAGGAGGAGGAGGAGGAGGAGTGGTAGGAGGAGAGGAGGAGGAGGAGGAGGAGGAGGAGAGGAGGAGGAGGAGGAGGAGGAGGAGGGGGGAGACACTGCGAATGATGACGAGGACGCGGATGAGGATGATGGGGATGTTGAGGATGGTGAGGACGATCATGTTGTTGATGATGGGGGTGATGCTGATGATGATGAGGATGATGTTGATGATGATGATGATGATGGTGGTGATGATGATGATGATGATGATGATGATGATGGTGATGATGATCATGGTGACAATGACGATGGCGATGTCGATGATGAGGACGAGGGTGAGGACGAGAAAAATGACGACGACGATGAAGCTGATGATGATGATGATGATGACGATGATGATGAAGATGCTGGTGACGATCATGAAAGTGATGATGAGGATGATGAGGACGATTATGATGGTGCTGATGAGGCTGATGAGGCTGATGATGATGCTGCTGCTGCTGATGATGATGGCGACGACGATGAAGACGATGATGGTGACAATAACGCTGCTGCTTATGTTGTTCGCTACACAGGCTCTGCCTAGAAGGGTTCTTGCTCTCTATCTTAAAGGGGCCGGGCAGTGGAAATCGCCCCGGGCGGTTCCCCCAGGATTCACCCCGCGTTCCCCCCAGTTACGCCCCCTGGGTTCACCCAGCTTAGCTTAGCTAAGCTTAGCTCAGCTTAGCTTAGCATAGTTTAGCTTAGCTTATCTCATCTTAGCTTAGCTTAGCTTAGCTTGGCTTGGCTTAGTTAAGCTTAGCTTAGCTTAGCCTAGCTTAGCTTAGCGTAGCTTAGCACAGCTTAGCTTACCTTAGCTTAGCGTAGCATAGCGCAGCGCAGCATTAGCACAGCATAGCATCGCATAGCCAAGCATAGCATAGCATAGCAGAGCTCAGCAGAGCTCAGCATAGCATGGCCTAGCATACCATATCATATCATAGCATAGCTTAGCGCAGCATAGCATAGCATAACATAGCATATAATAACATTGATTAGCATAGCACAGCGCAGCATAACATAGCATAGCACAGCATAGCATAGCATAGCATAGCGCAGAATAGCATAGCATAGTATATCATCGCATAGCTTAGCCTGTAGGTGTAGATGTGGATGTAGGTGTAGATGTAGATGTAAATGTAGATGTAGATGTAGATGTAGATGTAGATGTGAGTCTCGCTGTTGATGTTGATGTAGATGTAGATGCAGGTGTATATGTACACGTAGCTGCCGGTGTAGATGTAGATGTTGCTTTCCTGAATGCTCCAACTCCTAGGTAGGGTCGCACTGGGATAATTGATGATGATGATGAGGCTAATAATTATGATGTTGATGATACTGATGATGCTGATGATGATGATGATGATGATGATGATGATGATGATGATGATGATGATGTTGATGATGATGATGGTTATGATGGTGATGATGGTGATGATGCTGACGGTGGTGATGATGAGGAGGAGGAGAAGGTGGCGGAGGAGGAGGGGGAAGAGGACGAGGAGGAGGTGGCGGAGGAAGAGGAGGAGGAAGTCAATTTGTCTGGCCATCGATACTCACGGCTGGAGTTACACACGAGGTCACCCACGGGCGACCATTGTCGACTGCCGAAGTTTCTGGAAGCAGGGGACCGAGCAGGCATGCGGCGGTGCGTGCCAGACTGGGGACGAGGAGGAGGAGGAGGACCAGGAGGAGGAGGAGACGGAGGAGGAGGAGGGGATTACGGAGGAGGAGGAGGAGGAGGAGGAGGATCAGGAGGAGTCGGAGGAGGAGGAGGAGGAGGCGAAGGAAGAGGAGGAGGAGGAGGAGGAGGAGGAGGAGGATAAGAAGAAGAAGAATAATAGAAGAAGAAGAATTATCTGGGCGAAGGGCCCAACCATTCGCAGGTGTGAGAACCGCAAGGCAGGTGGGGCGAAGCAGAATTCCCAATGGGGCCACGAACCGTGTCAGGGGTGCGCCAAAATGGGCGGGGCCGCCATGCGAACCCTGCCGCCGGGGCCTTCGGTGGAGCTCCCTATGGGGCCACGAACCGTGTCAGGGGTTCGCCACAATGGGGCTAGGCCGGGGCTTTCGGTGGAGCTCCTTGTGGGGCCCCGAACCGTGTGAGGGGTGCGCCAAAATGAAGCGGGGCCGCCATGCGAACCCTGCCACTGGGGCCTTCGGGGGAGATCCCTGTGGGGCCACGAACCGTGTGAGGGGTGCGCCAAAATGGCGCGGGGCCGCCATGCGAACCCTGCCACTGGGGCCTTCGGTGGAGCTCCCTGGGGCCACGAACCGTGTGAGGGGTGCGCCAAAATGGCGCGGGGCCGCCATGCGAACCCTGGAGCTCCCTGGGGGCCACGAACCGTGTGAGGGGTGCGCCAAAATGGCGCGGGGCCGCCATGCGAACCCTGCCACTGGGGCCCGGTGGAGCTCCACGAACCGTGTGAGGGGTGCGCCAAAATGGCGCGGGGCCGCCATGCGAACCCTGCCACTGGGGCCTTCGGGATGGGGCCACGAACCGTGTGAGGGGTGCGCCAAAATGGCGCGGGGCCGCCATGCGAACCTGCCAACTCCCTATGGGGCCACGAAAGGGGTGCGCTGGCGCGGGGCCGCCATGCGAACCTGCCACTGGAGCCTTCGGTGGAGCTCCCTATGGGGCCACGAAACGCTGTACTTGGTGGGTGAAACGCAGGGAGGAAGGAGGAGGGGGAGGAGGGATGAGAGGGAGGAGGGGGAGGAGGCAGGAGTGAGGAACGCGAGGCGCTGTCTCTTCAAAACGAGGACACAACACCACAGGATGGTTGGGACTACGTAAAAGGGAAGAGGAGAAGAGGGAGAAGGGAGGAGTCGAGGGATTGTTGGAAGGAGAGGAGGGGGGACGGGAAGGAAGAAAGAGACGGAAGAACACGGAGGCAGGAGGCGGAGGAGGATGAGGAGTAGGAGGGAAGAGGATAAGGCGCCGATGAAATAATCCGTATGAGGATGAGGCGGAGGCGGAGGATGAGGAGGAGGAGGAAGAGGCGGAGGAGGGGGAGGAGGAAGAGGGGGAGGAGGAGGAGGAGGAGGAGGAGGAGGAGGAGGAGGAGGAGGAGAAGGAGGAGGAGGAGGAGGAGGAGGAGGAGGAGGAGGAGGAGATAATGAGGAGGAGGAGGAGGAGGAAGAGGAGGAGGATGGACGAGACGAGGGCACATGCGATGCGAGCTCGCCTTGGCGCCTCATCTTCTCCCTCTCTTCTCTTTCCTCCCTCCTCCCTCGTCCTCCTCCGCCCTCCTCCTCCCGCCTCCCTCATTCTGCAACTTCTCCTGTGCTTCCTGCCATTCCTCCTCTTGCACCTTTTCCTGCTCCTCCTGCACCCCCCTTGTGTGACGGACGGAAGGGGTGGATTGGGAAAAGGGGGGGGCACCATCTTCTGCATACAGCTGGTTTGGTCCCTGCCACCGGGCGCTCTCGTAGATACATGGGCGCCTCCAGCGCCAGGAGGCGCCAAGAAGACCAGCTGCGCGAGTTGATTCGCAGGAGCCCCCTTTCCTACCCCTTGTTCGGCCGAGCCGAGGCTCCTCCCACTCCGCCCACTCCAACCCCTCCTCCTCTCTCTCGACGCGGGATGTCGCCGCGCAGCGTTCCTGCCTCCATGTCGAGTTGGCAGGCGTCGAGCGTGTCTCACCAGCGACTTCTGCCAGGGCTGAGAGGGACAGTGATCGTCAATGGCCTTACCTTATCGTATCCTCCCCCTCCTCCTCTTCCTGCCGCTCCTCCTCTCCTGCTGCTTCCCCATCCACTTCCAAGGAGGAGCGGCTGCGGACGCAGATCGTGCAGGAGGCTGCGCTTCGCAGCCGGATCGCGCAGGAGCGCGAGGAGGGGATCCGACGAATACAGGGCCAGGTCGCGCTTTCCCCCTGCGTGCTGCTCCTCCCCCTCCCCCTTCCCCCTTCTCCTATTCTAGACCTCCTCCCCCTTCTCCTTCCCCTCCTTTCCCTCCTTCCGCTCTTCTATGGCAGCCCATGGGAGCCTCCCATGCAATCTTGCTGTCCCTTGTGAATCGACGCCAACCGACGGTCATCGACGCTAGCCGACGCTAGTTCGACGCGTATCGACGCCAATCCAGCGCTCGTCGACGCCAAATCGGTGTTCTCTCATTGATTGCCAGACGCTTGCTCGCGCTCGCATTTTGGCTCAAGATCCTTGGGCGCAAGTACTCAAGTATTCAGGCATGAATCACTCTCTTGAACGTATTCTCATACCCCTCACTTGACATCTGATAGTATGTTCTCTTGTTTGTTTGTCTGGTGCATCACATCAAGTTGGCAACATGTCGACTACGAAGAGGGCTGGTGGCAAAACGGGTTCCAGGCCACAGAAGCAGAAACCAAAGATGGAGGCCGTCAAAGACGACGACGATACTCTAATGGCACAGGTTGAGTCTGACAGTGCAGCCCCCGATTGGATCTAAAACTACGAGCGTCGTCGATCAAAGAAACTTGACAAGAGGACCCTCGACATTACCACCGTCAAGAGCATGATTCAGGAGGTCAGGGAGGAGACGAACCAAGCAATGCAGGTCGCCTCAGACGCTCAGGACCGAGTGGAGGACGCGGAGATCGAGATTGAGCGCATCAAAGCAGACCTGGAAGTATAATACATCACAAAAAGTAATATCGACGAACTGATCGACAAGAAAGTCAATAATATGGTAAATGGACACATGAAAATACGAACAGCAAGGAGTACATAAACACAAGCAGGAATTCCGACCGGCAACCAACCGGAGAGATCCCGCCAGGTATTTGCGATTGGCTGTTCTGAGCGCCAGGCCGCGGAGGTTATCATCTCGGAGATCGAAGGTATGGTCAAACATTTGCTTGGGGAGGATTCGGAAGCGAGGGTGGAGGCCCCCACGAACCCATCCAAAGTGGGTATCATCACGTTCGGGGGTAGGCAGGATAAGATCTCCTTTTGCGAGAAGGTGCAGGACCCAAATAACAAGAACGTCATAAAAGGGGAAACGTTTTTCAAACATTGACGTGTTTTTTTTTTCAAACATTGGGATATACCGAACACCATCTCGTCCACAACCCTGGTTCCAAGTACAAGGGGGAAGAGGTGAAGATTTGGTGGGACAGCGACTTGGTTGTAGTTTGGAGGAAAAAGGTTGCCTGGTTTAACGAAGACGGGGTATGGTGCACTACGTCGGTGGGAAAAATTGTCGAGAAAGATGTTGAAGCATCCGTGGCAAAGTGGAGGGCAAAAATCAACCCCGACCCAACCACTGACAGCGAGCGAAGAATGGGTGGCACTCCAAAGGAGTGCGCGAAACCCATATTGCCCAACAGTGTTTCATGAATTACTTCAATTGATATTGTTTCTCCAACGGCTCCCCCTAGGGGTGGCGGCAGAGGAAAATACAGTAACGTCGGAGTGGACTTTCCGATCCAGGCGCTCGGTTTTCGCACGACGCCCGGAGGAACCACCCGTGTCCGACCCACAGGAACTGTTTCCTCAATTTCTTCTTCGATGACCTCACCACCGACGCTTGCATCATCGCGTCCGGCTCCTGGACACCGAAACTTCGACCTCATCTCTTTCAACACCGAAGGCCTTGCCAATGATGACCAGATCGAGGAGCTGATGATTGAGGTGGAAAACATCAAATGGGACGTCTTGTTACTCACAGAAACGTGGAGGGAGCAGAAGACAGCTTTTCACGACCGACCAGGGCCATACATTTGGAGGGTAGGCTGGAACACCGGATGGAGGAAAAGGCGGTGCCATAATCGTGCGCGTATCATGTAAGTTACTTGACTTTGCACCGGTAAATGAGAGATTCGCGTATGTTGATATCAGATGCGCATCGCACGTTTTACGGGCTGTAGTTGCTTTTTTTCCCCAGACTGCACATACAAATATTCGGAGATGCCAGAACTATACACGGCACTTCCTACAATAATGCTGGAGACCAAAAGACGCACTATATATCTGATTGGTGGGGATTGTAAAGCAAAGGTGCGAAGCCGCATTACCGACGATATTGAAAGCACGATTGGACCTCACGGATTTGGTGTTGAATTTTGGCGTGGGCAGGGGCTAAAACAATGGCGTGGGCAGCTCGGCCTCAGCATAACCAGCGCGTTCTTCTCCAAGCCTCGGGCAAAACGAATCACACATTATTTGAGCAATGGGCATCCGCGACAGATCGACTTTGTACTTGTCGACAAGTCGAAGAGCCGGTACGTGACCAACTCTGGCTCCAGCACCGTGCCAGATTTGGCGTCAGACCATAAACCAGCGCGAACTACGTTGAAGTTGTCGCTGAGAAAATCACGCGAGAAGAAGCAGCATCGCCAGAGACACCGCCGGCCAGGATTGTCTTACAAAGATGGGTTTGCACGGCATGCCACTGAGCAGTTTGAACAGGCGGCTGGGTCAACAGAGTACGCAACCATTGACGATTTCAACACTCAGAACGAATCTGCTGTGATGCGCGCCAAGGAGTCGCTCGCAGAAGAATCAAAGCAAAAACGTGTTCAGATGGCAATGCTACCCGAAGGGGACGCCGCACTACGATAACTTATACACTAATGACTTGCGACACCGCATCGCAACGGCAGCAGGCGCGCACATCTCAGCAAAGAGATTCGTACACATCAAAGACGTCTAGTGTAGTTTCGCAGGGCTCAAGGATATCAAGCCCGCAAAGACAAGAACGAGACGACAGATAATTGTTAAGATGGTTGACAGAAACGGGCTCGAGCGCACGAGCCGCAAAAATATCGCCAATGTGTTCGCCGACTTTTTACGACGATCTGATTGCTACAGCACGCGTGCTACCGGAACAAGCAACAGCGCATGATCTTCCAGCGTCATCTATTCCGCCATTCACCTAAGATGAATGTGACCAAGATCTCAAGCACCTTGAGACAGGAAAGGTGCCAGATACCATGGGGATTGTTGCAGAGATGTTGAAACTCGGTGGAGAAGCTGTGCAACGCGCTGTGCTGGACATGCACAACGCTATCATCCAGCCTGGGGCCCCGACCCCGGCCGAGTGGAAGCTGAACGTCGTGGCAGAATTGTTGAAAGATGGAGACCCTACCAGGCCATCGAATTATAGACCAATATCGATAATCCCGATTCCTTACAAGTTGTTTGCCAGATTTTTACACCAAAGGTTGGGGAAAGTTTTGGGTCCGGAGCAATCGTGCGATCAAGCTGGTTTCCGACGGGGCTTTTCAACAATCGATGATATATTCATGTTGTCGTACATCCAGGATAAGGCGGATGAATTCCAGCAGACCGCATGGTTTTGTGCGCGAGACTTTCAGAAGGCTTTCGATATCGTCGAACACAACTCTCTTTGGGATGCGCTCCGCGGCCAAGCTGTCCCGGAATCAAATGTTCAACTTTTTTGTTCTCTCTACGCGGGCCAACGTGGGCGCGCGCGGACAGACGTGGTCAGCAACGAGTTCGACATGCAGCGTGGGACAAAACAGGGCGACCCATTGTCTGCGTTGCAGTTCACTGCGTTGCTTGAGCACTGCCTCGGACCATGCAAAAAAGTAATGGGCTAAGAATAAATTCGGCTTACGATTGGATCCCACAAGCAGCAACAGGCTGACCCATCTACGTTTCGCGGATGGCATGCTAGCCGTAGCAACAACCCTGCACCAGATCAACGAGATGCTGTCGGGCATCCAGAGATCCGCCGCAGACGCGGGCTTGTCCTTGCACCCGGACAACACAAAGATATTCGCAAATGCGTGTAAGATGTCGGGGAGGCAGGCTGCTACATCGGTAAAAGTGAATGGCCTGGACATTGAGATCATCTCGATAAGAACCACTATCAAATATTTGGGACGTCTTGTATATTGCGACAAGCCTTTCGAGTGCGAGCTCACGAGCTCAACAATCGAATCCGGCAAGCATGGGCACCGCATGGGTTGCACAAGCAGGAGCTTCCCAGCCAAGCTTACCTTCTGAAGGGCCGAACCCGACTGCTCAACAACACGGTGGCGCCAACGTTATTGGACGGAAGCGAAGTCTGGCCTGCGACACGCGACGTGGAACATAAGATCACATGTGTACAACGGAGAATGTTCAGACAACTGTTAGGGGCAAAGCGGGAAGCTTTATCAAGCGAGGGCGCGCGCAATGATGATTTGCAGTGTGCAGACATAGACAGCAACCTTGAGCCAGAATCGGACGGCACATCGTCAGGTAATCCAGAAGCTGCGCAACTGGAGCCTTGGGCGGACTTCATCCAGAGAGCTACGCGGCAGACGCAGGAGCAATTGCAGGCGGCATGTGTCGATTCGTGGGTGTACCAACAAACAAGACGCAAATGGCGATGGGCTCTCCGGTTGGCAAGCATGGGCGCCGACCAGTGGGCTTCGCAAGCGATGTCCTGGGATCCGGCACTCACCTCTAATTCAGCGCGTCGCTTGGCAGGCAGACCGAAGAGACGTTGGGACGACGACGTTCGAGAGCACATTCGCGCACAAGGTATCAGCAGCTCATGGCAACGCTGTGCGGTGCAACGCGGTCTTTGGAACGATCTTGAAGAAGGACTTGTGATGAAGGAATAGTTCTTTGTTTCACACGGTGTCTTGTTATTCTTGTTGTGGCAATGCAGTGGCAGCGCGTGGTCTCCTCCAATCTGTGTGACTGCGTGTCCCTCTCGACTCCCCTCTAGAGGACCGCCCCCCAGGGCCGGAATGCGGGCCTCTCTGTTTGTCTGTCTGTTTGTCGTGCTCTCTAAGTAGCGGCATGTCGAGGACATGCAGGGCTCCCGCGAGTTCCCACCGAACCCCAGGGCTGGACCTAAACGCTGTTTTGCTGGGCTTCGGCTGTGTTTTGTTGTTCGTTTTGGAGTTGAGGTGCAGGAACACAGTTAGATCAAGACGAACAACAAAACGACAGCAACACGAATTACAACGTTTAGGGCCAGCCCTGCCGAACCCCTTCTTCCCGTCCCCAGACCTTTCATTGCCATGAACAGCGAGCCTCTTCTCGTCGAGGATGGCATCGCGGCGCGAGTTGTTTCTTTGTGTTGCATTTTCCGGCCTCTGTGTGCCCTCACTGGGCCCCAGGACAGTCAAACGACGACCCGGGATGAACAGGCAGTCTGGGATAAGAGGTCCAGACATCTGGGGGTCCTTGCTGCGAACAGAAGTCGCGACTATTTTGCGCCGTGCGGCGAGGACGGGTCCAAGGGAAAGGTCAACGTGTCCCAGAGGTTACTTGTTGTTTTCGGGTTCCATGGGGCCTGGGCCAGGCGGGTGGCAATGGGGGGTGGCATGAATGGGGGGTGAAGTAAACGGCCCCGAAGGGTAGCCTTTAGGGCCCCTGTTGGAGCCAGCACATGGGCCCAAAAGGGGCCCTGAAGGGCCCATGCCCTCCTCTTCACCCCCCACTGAGGTCACACTTTCTTGCAGTCGGCGCGCCTAGTAAGGATGCGCGCCTTCACCTAGGGTGCCCTTTGTGTCCTTGCCTCTGCGGCCCGTCCTTTACGGTTTTCACGGGTCGCCCGCCGCCTCAAAAATCCCAACTTCGGCCTCCATGGGCCTTGCGGCCTTGCCACCCGTGCTTAATATTCGGGCGAAGAGAGCTACGCAGGCTATGTACATGCACCGATCCTGGCAAGGCCCATCCTTGACCCAGGATCGGTGCATATGCTTTCCTGGCCACGGCAGGAGGGCATATGCACCGATCGTGGGCTCAGGATGGGCCTGGCTAGAATCGGTGTATGTGCATAGTTCTCTTTCCTCTAAATACACGCCTTGACTGTACGACCCGCCCGGCCAGGGGGAAGGCCCCGGGAGCCCGGGAGGGGGAGGGCCTTGGGGTCCAGGGCCCGCTTCGGACTGGGCCCGCTCGCCTCCTGCTGGATTTCCCCTCTCCGTGCTGCTCTTTTTCCTCGGGCGAAGAGAGCTATGCACATACACCGATCCTGACAACGCCCATCCTTGACCCAGGATCGGTGCATATACCTTCCTGGCCAAGGTAAGAGGGCGTATGCACAGATCCTGGGCTCAGGGTTGGGCCTGGCCAGAATCGGTGTATGTGCATAGTTCTCTTTCCTCTATTTTCCGAGGCGGGGATTTATCCATATCCACCGCCTGGGGGATCGATCCTCGCGGACCTCCACGGGCGGTGGACATGGATCTATTCGGGCCCTCGGCGGCCAGAATGTATCCATATCCGCCGCCCGCTGTGGCATCAGGACGTCGGTTCCCAGGCGGTGGATATGGATAGATTCCTGCCTCGCACCTTTCCTCCTCGAAGACAGCAACGGTGCAATTTCTTATCCGGCCGCGCGCAGGGGGGGTATGGGTGAGGGGGCAAGGCTTCTTAGAAACACCCCTGCTTCTAAGGAGCCTTCCCCCTCCCGCATACCCCCTTTCGCGCGCCGCCAGATTGGGAAGCTGGATACACATGACGTGGTTGGCCTGGTCGAGTGCTGGATACACATTTGGCCGCATGTCTTTCCAGCGCTCGGCCCTCGTTTGGCCAAGCAATGTGATCCTCCACATGTTCATCCAGCAAGTGGCCTCCAGATGTTCCACCAGTAAATCCAGCCATGTGTGTTTCTAGCTTCCCGGCATTTTCGGAGGACCGACCGGGTATCCTGGACGCTGCCTCTCACGCGTTCCGCGCGACAGGAGGGTCCATCGCCGATCCGAGAAATCCGCGCGGACCTCTGGCAGGTTATGCTTGTGCATGTCTGGTTTCTTCTACCCCCCCCCCTCCTCTTCCTCATCCTCCTCCTCGTCCTCGCCCCCTCTTCCCCCTCCTGCTGCTCGTGCTGTTGCTGCTGCTCGTCCTTCTCCTCCTCCTCCTCCTCATCATCATCATCTAGCTTTGAGTTGCTCCCATTCTATCACCTGCTTGCTGTAGCGTCCGACTTAGGCGAGGCGGCCTTAACAGCGTCAGCCGAGTATTTCTCATATGGCCCCTACACCGCATACCGGCTGTACTATCCAACGTTCATCAGCTGCAACCGCGTAGGGCCAGGAAGAGCAAGCTGAAAATTGTTAGCCAAAAGCAGAGTGGCCCGCAAAGGCTGGTAGAAGCGGCGTCTGCTGTGATGACCTTCTCTTCTTTACCCTCCTCATCTATTCCTCAGGTCAGAGAGGTTAACCACATATTCCGCGACCTGGCCTCGATGGTCACAGACCAGGGCATGCAGGAGGGCGCCGCCTTTTTGCCTCCGCGGCCATGCCAGTCACCACGAGGACACGGCTGTCGGCGCCAGGGCGGGCCTGAGACGGCCAAGGCTGGAGTGAACTACTCGTGGTCGGGTGCTGGCGAGTGAAAGGTGGGTGAGGCGGAAAAGCATGGACAGTGAGGAGTTGTGAGTGGGTAATTGAGGGTCGAGGTCGAGGAAGAGGGAGGAGGAGAGAAAGGAGGAGAAGGGTGAGGAGGAGGAGGACGAGGAGGACAAGACGGAGGAAGTGGAGAAGGGAACAACAAGATGGAAGACGAGGGGAAGGGAGGAGGAGGAGGAGGAGGCGGAGGGCAGTCTGGAAGCCATCCTGGGCGTGTCGGGCCGATCTTGCGGCGACTCTGGGAACTCTTGGACCGTGTTGGGGGCCTCGCCCGCGATCGTTTCGGAACATGAGGCGTGGGGCAGAGATTTGAGGGGAGAGGTCAGAACATGAGGGGGATGAGGAGGAAAAGTGGGAACAAGACGAGCAAGATAGCTAGAGAGGGTGACCCCAAGGGTCCGTTCACGAGGAAGCCCAAGTGCAGCCGCTGCCTCTCGCCCGTCGTGTGTTAGAACCCAGGTGCGTCATGGTCGTTGTGCTCGGGCTCGCGGCGGTGGACGAGGGCCTCCCGCTGGGGATCCGCGCTTTCGCGTGGGCGAGGTTGCTCAAAGTGTGGGCCTCGGCTTGTAGTGACGACCTGCGCGGGCTCCTACCGGCGGAGATGAGCGTTTCGAGGGACGGGTTCAAGGCAGCTCTGGATGGGGCAAAGACGAGCGGGCCATGTCGGCGCATCCGCTGGCTCCACGTCTACGTCGACGACCCGGGTGCATACATTGCGGCGCCGAGGCGGATGGAGGTAGGACATTCTTTCTGGAGCAGCCCGCCGCTCAACTACGACCCCCCAGGCATTCTGAGGACGTGACTCGAGCGTGGTAGAATTGCTGGTTTGGGGCTCCCCCCTTCGCGCGGACAGTAACAATTTACAGTAGGAAGCAGAAAACAGGACTGTAACATCGGAGACTTGTACAGCCTGGTGGCCACACAAGGAGGCCGGCGGGCATCGGACGTTGTAGGCTTCGCGGGGACGTCACGTGGGGCAGCAAATTCAGTTTTGGCCGGGACGGGTCCCGAACGAAGTGCGTGGAGTTGCGCAAGGAGGATTTGCTGTCGGACCCGGTCCGCATGGCAAAAAGACGCCCTGAAGCGCAAGATTTCGGTGGGTCATTGCAGGCCGGGCGCGCATTGCCACGCCGACGCGCTAATCGACGTCCTTCGCAATCGAGGCCCCTTTCGTGAGGCGGGGTCTGAGAGCGCAGTGGCCCAGGGCTGGGAGACGGTGTTGCGCGTCGTCTTGTACATCTTCGCCGCAGGGCGGCTTGCAGATTTGCGAATGCACCTAGAAGCCAAGCAGTGGCGAAACGTCCTGGCGTGCCTATAGGCCTACCAAACAATGTTCTAAGAACCTGTTTGTGGTTTCCACGAAATGTTCTTAGAACATTTCTGACTGGGACTGTCTTGTTTTAACACATTGGCTTTTGTTCTAAGAACATGGTTTGTGTTATCCGAACACTGTTGGGCTCTAAGAACACTTCGTGGTAGCCCTATCGGAATGTCGGGACGGCCGGTCGCTGCTCAAAGCATTCTGCGCCAGGCTGCGCCTGGAGGAGGTGGGCTGGGAGCTGCGCCGCGAGCCCGACGGCGCCCTGGACGGGTCCGCCCGGCAGCTCGCGCCTCGGGCCGCTTCGGGGCGGGCAGCGGGGCGTCCTCGCCGCGACCGTCCCGGGGCGCACGCCGGCCCGCGCAGGTCCGGGCGAGCCGCGGAGGCCCGCGGCCCTCGCGATGCAGGTGGCGTGCCTGCGGGCTCCCATGAGCTTGCGAGGCGAAGACTTCCAGCGATGCCGCGACGACAGTCCCCCTGGTCAGCTCGGGAGGGGAAGAGACACACAGACACAATTGATCGTCGACTCCCAGGAACAGATGGGAAAATATGGGAAGTGGGGAGGAAGACGAAAACTTAGGAAGTATGGGAAAATTTTGGGGATCCTGTTATCTATGTCTATTAAGTCGTGTGTCCCAGGCCCCCTTCATCAACAGGTTCTGCACGGCAGCGAGGGCGGGCCACGAACCGACGGCGAGGGCCCGGTGCGTCATCGTGCACTCCGAGGACCTGGGGGTCACTCCGACGGGAGGTGAGCCGGCCAGCGTCTGGCAGTTGCCCGAATTCGACGACCTCATGCGGGGCACCGATGGCTTCACAGGCGCGCTGCACTTGTGCAGGTACGACAACACGACGCGTTCGCGGTCCACGGCGTTGGCGGGGACGCTGGGGCCTCTGCGGCGGATGGTTTTCCCAGGCTGGCCGCGGTTCAGGAAAGATGGGACCTGCCGAGGTCCATTGCCGAAATTGTGCGGCCATCGCCATGGTCGACCGTCGGTCGGAATCGCGCCCGACAGGTGCAGCGGCGCGTCGCCGAACGCTGCCTTCCTTCCCCGCAGGCTTCTCCCGGGACGTCGCGGCCATGGTCGTCGAGGACGTTGAGGCCCGCAGCACGCTGGCAGTGGGGGTAGGAGTAGGTCTGGCTGCGGGCCAGGCTCGCGGCGGCGAGGAGGAGCAAGAGCAGCAGGAGGTCCCCTTCGCCCAGGCAGACGCGTGTGACGAGGAGGAGGCAGGCGTCCCGCGGGCCAAACTGGGCCTGGGCTTGCTGGGGCGAGGCCCGCCGCTGAGGGTGGACGCCAAGCACCGATGGTTCACGGATGGGGCGGGGCTCTGCTCTCCTGGGCGCTGGGCGCCCCCGGCGCGGAGGGTGGAGTCCTCGGGGCTTTCGGCAAGTCTCCGCATCCGGCGGTTGAGGCTGCTGGAGGGCAGGGCCGACGTGGCACCTTGTATACGTTAGCGCGCGGTCGGTGCACGGAGTCACCCTTCGGGCCGGACCGCGATCGGGACAGCCGGCAGGCGCTGGCGGAGGAGCTGCTGCCAAAGCATGGCCAAGCGGTGATGCTCAGGGAGCTCGGCATGTACCTGAAGCTCGCGGGCGACACGGATTGGCGCGTCATGGCTGCGCAGACGGCTTCCTATTTGACAGGCGTCTGCCTGGGCGTCGGCCAACGGCTCCCGCGCGCGTCTGTTGTTTTCGAGCGCAAGACCAGGTTCTGGAAGTACGACGAGGATCTGGCCCAGTACGGCTTGCCCGAGTCGCGCGAGAATAGTAGGAGCCTCGGTGACCATGTGGACGAGATCAAGGCGCAGTTCAAACATGAGGCCGAGGAGGGCATGATGCGGCGAGTCACGGACTCCGAGGCCCAGGAGGAGTATGGGAAGGACCTTGTCGTTGCGGCCTTAGGTGCCATCGTCAAGTCGGACACCGCCTTCCGCGTGATCCACGACGGCACCCATGGCGTGCGAGTCAACCCGCGCATTCAGCAGCAGGATCAGGTGCGCATGCCAGGTATGCCAGAGCAGCGAGCGATTCTAGGGCGGTCCTGTGGGGGAGTGCACATTGGACTTACAGGCGACATCAGCAGGGCGCATTGCCGTTGCAGGGCTTGCCGCCAGGACCACGGTGTCCAGGCGCGCCGGCTGGAGGACGGCCATGTGTGGTTGAACGAAGTCGGCACGTTCGACATCGGCTCGGCCTCATACTGGTGGGGGCGCCTAGCGGCGGCGCTGGCACGTTGGGCACTTTACGTGTACAAGTTGTTCATTTCTATTTCTTCGAAAGTTCGTTGATTTTTTTGGGCCAAGATCCTTTCATGTCTAATTGTTCTATCCTGGGCCTCTTCCTGGCCACTAGGGGGCCAGGAACAATTAGACACGAGCACATTTAGAAATGAGCACGATTAGAAATGAACGACGTGTCGTTTCCTGAGTGGTTCTGGCCGTTGGTATTCGCCGACGATCTCATTGGTCATCGGCAGGCGCGCGGGCCGCGCACGACCCGTTACTCTCGGTGTGCTGGCTCGAGGTCTTGGGGGTCCCTTTCTCTTGGAAGAAGTTCCGGGGGGGTCCTTCACGTGGACTGGATTGGCTGGGTCGACTGCGAGCGCCTCCAAGAAGGCCGGGCAGAGAAGCGGTGCCTTTGGATCGTCGATTGTTTGCAGGGGTTGCTCAACGATGGGACTGTCCTCGTCCAGAGGGTGGCGGACGGACTCGGCAGGTTGATGTTTGCCATGCTCGCCCTCCCTCCCTCCCTGAAGATCAACCTTTTCTAAGGTCTTTACGCATGGTGCGCGGCAGTGCCTGCCGGGTCGCACGTGGAGTTCCCGATTGCCTTGAAGAGCACGGCCGAGTTTCTCATTGGCCAGCTCCACGAGGGCGGCTTGCGACGTACATGTGATGAAGAGGAGGCGGGGGACTGCGAGGAGGGGCATTTCCAGGCCGACGCGGAGGCAGAGGGAGAGGATGTGGGCATTGGCGGCTGGGAGTGCGCATTCGGGGTCCCCCCGAAGCAGGCGGGGTGGTTTTATGTCAAGGTGACAAGGCGGGAGTTCCCTTGGGTGTTCGCGCGGGGGCGGGGGGCTTTTCTGCACTAGTTGTCGCGTCGCTTGAGCTTTTTGGGGCGCTGCTGTGCTGGGTGGCCTTCGGCAGGGACGGCGCTCGCTGGTCTCCCGGCATCGCCTTCGGGGGGGCGACTGACAACAAGGGGAATGCGCACGTCGTGGACCAGCTCTTGACGACCAAGTTTCCATTACGCGCCATCCTCATAGAGATCGCGGCGCAGCTTGGGCAGGCAGGGAGGTCAATGCCTCTCTGGTGGAACCCGAGGTTTCAGAACGTCGCGGCGGACGAGCTCAGCAATGGTATCACGACCACCTTTGCACCAGAGAACCGGGTCAAGATCGAGCTGGCGCACATCAAGTTGATCGTCTTGCCGGAATGGATCAGTACTGGGAGTGCCTCTACGGAAGTTTGGAAGAAGCCAAGGAGGTACGCAAGCAGGAGGCCGCAGGAATTGCGGCATCAAATGGCAAGCTGGCGCGGAGGCGCGCTAGGTCAGGGCGCCTGCGGAAGACTGATTCTCGGTGGGTTGGGCCCGGCTCAGTCGCTATTGGAAGGGGAAGGAGGGCGCTGGGCGAGGGCTCAGGCGTCCCTCCCACTGCGCGCACCTTGCCCGCCATATCTTTTAGAGAACAGTTGAAAAAAGGCTCCCGCACTGGCTTTCGGTCGCAGATCAACGATCGTGTACTCTGATGTCATGGGAGTCTAGAAATGTGGAACAAACTCATGTACAGATGTACGCGCTGAACACATGTATATCTATACGCAGAGATATAATGAATACATGTGTGCAGTTGCGAATGCATATCCGTACATGGTTGTTTTCGGTATTATTTCGTTTGCGTAACCGATGCGTTGTAATACTGAATGTCGTCTCCGTTGTTGCATCCTACATCGTTCCCCACAGGGGCGAACGGTTATATTGAAGCATGTGCGTATGCGGGATATCTGCTATAATGTTTATATTACATGTATTGTGTCGGTCTCCCCCTCTCTCTCTCGCTCTCTCGATGCATAGAGATATGCATGAGCATAGCCGTGCAAGTGTATACAAATGTAAAAAGATATACGTGGATATATACACACGTATATATATATGCATATATGCACATGAATATAATCGTGTATTGTCAGATTCCAGAGGTTAATATTCTATACACATGCGTGTCTATATACTTTCCTATGCCATATACTTGTTGTGATCGCTCTCTCTCTCTCTCTCTTTCTCTCTCCCCCCCTCTCTTTGCTCTCGGCGCTCCCCCTTTTGTCTCTCTCCCTCTCTATATCTTGGGTCTTATGTCTCAGGATACGTTCTTATCTCGCCTTCTCGCTGTCTTTTTCCCTCACTCCTTCTCCCCCTGATTTCCACTCTCCCTGTGTCTCCTTCTCTCTCTTTCTCCTTCTTTATATACCTCTTTTAATGTATGTATGTGTAAACTATATGACATATTGTGAGCTTGTTGTGTTTCCTGATCAGAACCGTTCGCGCGGTATCGATTTCGTATGTGCATACACATTGCTTCTCCCCGGCTTTCCAATGTATTCTATATATTTCATTTTGTATCATATATTTCGATGTCTCTCTCACTCTCTCTCTCTCTCTCTCTATATATATCGCTCTCTCTCTATTTCTCTCTTTCTCTATTTTACCCGAGTCTATATATACACTTATGGGTGAACATGCGTGTACATCTATATGCGCTTCTCCATTCTGACTTCTTTTTTTTTGTTTTTTTTTTTTCTCTCTCTCTCTCTCTATATTTCTCCATCTATCTCTTCGGAAGTCGAGGGGGCTCCTGCGAGGGCAGTCTGAGCGAGGTTGGGAGCGAGTCTGAGAGCGCGGTCTGGAGGGTCGCGGCCTTCGCCCCATGCGGCACGGGCGCTGGGGCGCAGAGTGCCTGCTGCTCCAGCTATGGCCGCCTGGTGCTGGAAGGGGGATCCCGCATCCGCACGGCGCCGGTGGAGGCCAGCGTGTGGCGGTGCTTCCAGGCCTGGTGCTTGTGGTTCTCGGTCTTGGCATCGCTCGGACGTGTGCTTTGTTCTTCTCGGCGAGGACAATCGAGGAGCATCCTGGACCATCGAGCAAAAAACCACGCACAAAACCGAAACATGCACGGGGAATGGACGTCCGAGCGATGGCAAGCGGGCCGATGCAGTGGCTGCTGGAAGCGTGCTGCGGGCAGGGGCGTGCGGGCGGGTGCCACGGGTCATGGAAGCGCACGTCGAGCTGTCGGAGATGTGCCCTTGCGTCGGCCTGGCCAAACGCACCTGTGGTGCGGAACTTGCGCGGTGAGTCTCCCGCTGCACCGGCCCGCTCATGCAGCCTCAGGAGTGCAGCCTTCCTCTCCCTCTCTTCTTCCTCCCTCCTTCCTTTCTCTCTCCTCCTTCACCACCTTTTCCCGAGCTCCTCCGCCTGGGCCGTCTGAAACAGCGGCTCCAAGTTCGAGACGATAGAGCAGCAGGCCGGCTCACCTCTCGTTAGCGGGGCGCGGGGCGCCCTGGGATAAACGTATCGTTGTACGAGTCGCCTCGCGCCTCGCGCCTTGAAGACGGGGCCCAGAAGAGGGGAGGAGAGGGAGTCTGTGGAAGAGCAAGAGCAAGAGCAGAAGCGGGAGCTGGACAGCAGCAGAAGGATGAGGATGCGATGGCTCGTAAGTGGGGGGAGGAGGAACAGGAACGGAGGACGGGGTGGAGGAGTGAGACCAGCTGTGGTGATGGAATTTGTCTTGCTTCAGTGTCCTACCTTTGTTCCCAACCATCCTGTGGTGTTGGGTCCTCGTTTTGAAGAGACAGTCAACGCGTTCTCCCCTCCTCCTCCTCCCCTCCCTCCCTCCTCCCATCACTGCCTCTGCCCTCCGCATGTCCTCGTCGTCAGCATCATCATCATCATCATCATCATCATCATCATCATCATCATCATCATCATCATCATCATCATCATCATCATCATCATCATCACCTGCGCTTCGTGGCCCCATAGGGAACTCCACCGTTTGTTTCCACCCAGCAAGACGTGACGTGGCCACATAGGGAGGTCCACATCAGGCCCCAGTGGCTGTGCCCGCATCCGTTTCCCCCACCCAGCACAGC